CAACCACCTGATCAAATAGTAACATTTGAAGCTAACTCTTTCTCTCAATCTCTAACATTATGGAGGGACGGGAGAAAGAGAGACAACAGGTGTCTTACACAAGAGAGCTGTCACCTCAGAACAGTCAGTGGTCTTAAGAAACAGCAAAGGAATATGCAGTGATATATGTGGTCTTGTGGGAGATGTACCAGCTGTTGTTGTTTATATTGGTGGGGGGGGGGATGATGGCAGGTGGCATCCCGGGGGAGGGGGAGATGACTCGTCTGTCCTGCCTTCCATTATTATCTGCCCTGCCTTCCATTACTGTCTGTTCTGTCTTCCATCCTTGTCTGCCCTGCCTTCCATTACTGTCTGTTCTGTCTTCCATCCTTGTCTGCCCTGCCTTGCATCCTTGACTGCCCTGCCTGCCGTCCTATAAGACTGGCGGGGACCCAGGATGGTGTCAGCAGCCCTGACATAACATTCGTCTACAGTTGTGGTACGTAAAACAGTCCATGTATGTGTGTATGTGTGTGTGTGTGTGTGTGTGTGTGTGTGTGTGTGTGTGTGTGTGTGTGTACTCCCCTATTTGTGGTCACAGAGCTCGATTCACAGTTCCTGGCCCCGGCTTTTCGCTGCTAGGTCAACTCTCTCCCTGCTCCGTGAGCTTTATCATACCTTTTCTTAAAGCTATGTATGGCTCCTACCTCCACTACATAACTTTCCAGACTATTCCACTTCCTGAAAACTCTATGGCTGTAGAAATACTTTCTAACGTCCCTGTGACTCATCGGAGTCTTCAGTTTCCAAATGTGACCCCTTGTTGCTGTGTTCCATCTCTGGAACATCCTATCTCCGTCCACCTTGTCGATTCCTCTCAGTATTTTGTATGTCGTTATCATATCTTCCCTGTCTCTCCTATCCTCCAGTGTCGTCAGGTCGATTTTCTTTAACCTCTCCTCGTAGGACATGCTCCTTAGCTCCGGGACTAATCCTGTTGAAAACGTTTGAACTTTCTCTAATTTCTCGACATACTTGACCAGGTGTGGCTTCCAAACTGGTGCTGGATGCTCTAGTATGGGCCTGACGTACACGGTGTACAGTGTCTTGAACGATTCCTTACTGAGCTGTCGGAACGCTATTCTCAGGTTTACCAGGTACCCATATGCTGCACCAATTATCTGGTTGATGTGTGCCTCAGGAGATGTGCTCGGTATTATACTCACCCCAAGATCCTTCTCCTTGAGTGAGGTTTACAGTCTTTGACCACCTAGACTGTACTCTGTACTCACCTAATTGTGGATGCAGGGGTCGAATCATAGCTCCTGGCCCTGGCCCCGTCTATATGTGTGCACGCGCACGTTTGGTACCAATCAGTACACACGTCTTTAATATAGCAGTAATAGAACACGGATATGTTATCGGGTTATCAGTCAAAATGATCCTCGCTGACTATGCCAAGTCCGCAAACTCCACGTAAAAAGACCAGATGTGTACATATGTACACCGTACACAAGAACCCCCCCTTGTTGGGGCAGTAATAACTTACAAGACGTGAAGATGCAAGTGTTATCTCAAGTGCCTGAATGTAACCGCTAATTATACAACCTCTTTATATATATATATATATATATAATATATATATATAATATATATATATATATATATATATTATATATATATTATATATATATATATATATAATATATATATATATATATATATATTAGTGCCACCTTGGGCATTTATTTTGCTCTCTCTCTGTTTTGTTTACCTCAACAATTAAAACACTGTGTAGCTAATATACAAGTATTTCTTTGCCTAAAGATGTGTGTGTGTGTGTGTGTGTGTGTGTGTGTGTGTGTGTGTGTGTGTGTGTGTGTGTGTGTGTGTGTGTGTGTGTGTGTGTAATAATAGTAGCAACAGTCTTGCCAACCTCTTCACTGCCGCCATCTTTCATACATCTCTACTCTCATTTCCCCCACACTGCCCCCACACTGCCCCCACACGCAACCCCCACACACAACCCCCACACACTACCCCACATTACCCCCACACTGTCCCCAAACTGCCCCCACACAGCCCCCACACTACCCCCACACACTACCCCCACACACTACCCCCACACACTACCCCCACACACTATCCTCACACACTACCCCACACAGCCTTCACACACCCCACACTGCACCCACACACTACTCCCTCACCCACCATATATAACTAATCCCATCTTGCGTACTGGCGTATAACAGGGAAATACTCTTTGTTCCCACTGTGTAATTATCATATAGAATAGTGTAGCAATACACTGCTGGTGTTCCCACTGTGTAACTATCATACAGAACAGTGTAGCAATACACTGCTGGTGTTCCCACTGTGTAACTATCATATAGAACAGTGTAGCAACACACTGCTGGTGTTCCCACTGTGTAACTATCATATAGAACAGTCTAGCAACACACTGCTGGTGTTCCCACTGTGTAACTATCATATAGAACAGTCTAGCAACACACTGCTGGTGTTCCCACTGTGTAACTATCATACAGAACAGTGTAGCAACACACTGCTGGTGTTCCCACTGTGTAATTATCATATAGAACAGTGTAGCAACACACTGCTGGTGTTCCCACTGTGTAACTATCATATAGAACAGTGTAGCAACACACTGCTGGTGTTCCCACTGTGTAACTATCATATAGAACAGTCTAGCAACACACTACTCATATCTACAACTATTCAAGAACTATCTATCTTGGGTCCTAGGCAAGGGTCGTCTAAACAAGATTTAAAATCTAAAAATAGCAGCTTGTGGGTTGGTTGATTAATGAGGTTTGAAGACTATCTGCTGCACGAGGGTCATTAAGGCTGCACGGCACTCGGGCACCACCAGACAAGAATACGTTAATATATTATAACTAAATTATATTCTCAGAGAGTATACACTGAGAGAAATATACCTCAATAATAATAATAATAATAATAATAATAATAATAATAATAATAATAATAATAATGTTACGAGAAAGCTGTTAACGCGAATGTGATCACAGCGACTAGGAAATGAGAGGTAATGAGGTTTGTTCCGAGGAAGAGAGGAGCAGCTCCAGTTCCTTGCATCAAAAGCCCTTCACCATTATGAATTATTCACCAGGAAGAACAGAGTGAATAAGAGATCAGTGTTAAAAACAGATATATCTCATGTTCTTTCAGTACCTCTCACACCCTACACTAGTGTAAAATACTGAATAAAAACATACTACAAATATTTAGACCTAATATATCAGTACCTGGAGAAGGTTTCAGTGGGTCAAAGCCCCCTTCGGCCCTGTCCATGACCAGGCCTCGGCCACTTGATTCCTTGATGACTCGTTCACTGGTCAAGCATCAGCTGGCCTTCCCAAGCTTCTTTTTTACACTACATTTAATGAAGAATTAATGGCACGCTATCCTGAAAGCAGTTTCTGCTCATGTTTACTTTTTTCTGGGTTTTTGACACTCGTGTCGTTGGTGTTGGTTTTTAAGGGTTGTGACTGTTTGTTTTGTATTGGATTTAAGGGCTACTACGACTCATACGGGGTTGGATTTAAAGAATATTATAACAAATTCTGTGTTGGATTTAGGGGCTATGTTGTTATTATTGTGAGAAGCGCTAAACCGTAGGGATTACACAGTGCCTGTGGGGGGTGTTGGAAGGTATTCAGGGAACTAGAGCACAGATCAGACTCCCTAGATCAAGAGCCCCTCACCCCTCTAGGGGTGTAAGGGCTATGATGCCTCATTCTGAGTTGGATTGAAGGGCTATGATAATAATAATAATATCTTTATTTACTACAAGTACATGTGTAAGGTATACAGTCCTAGCTGACAACAATGACATACTACTATATAGAAACTCCCTTGTTATGCTCTGCATTTCGGGCAAATTAGGTCAGTGTCCCGGGATGCGACCCACACCAGTCGACTAACACCCAGGTACCCATTTTACTGATGGGGGACATAGACAACAGGTGGAAAGAAACACGTACGATGTTTCTACTCTGGCTGGGAATCGAACCCAGGACCTCGCCGTGTGAAGCGAGAGCGTTAGCCACCAGGCGGCTACTATATAGGCTTATTCTGTGTTGGATTTAAGAGCTACTACAGCTTATTCTGTTGGATTTAAAAGCTATTACGGCTACTTGTATGTAGGACTTAAGGGCTACAACGGCTTATATGCCGTGTGAGCCCTCTTTTCACTTAGAATTCGCCATATTTAAACTTCACTTTGTCGTTTACGTCCAGAGACATATTAATGTTCAGTTAGAGTTGACAGAATTATAGCCTTGCTTCCTTTCTCAACATATTTATACATTTAGTTAATGAAATTTATGGGAGTTTACCCAACGACATGCTTATACTTTTTTTTCAGTGACTGCTAAGAAAATTTATATACTCTCATGCAAGATTTTCTTTAAATATGACTCTTGTGCCTAAGTTTAACTAATTAGCAGGTGGTGTAAGAAAGCTGAGTCAGAAAACACTTGTTTCCTGACGAATAAGACACCGTCATTATTTGAAGGTCATATACATAGGAAGATTATATTTGTGGACTTGTGTATACACACTGTATATCTGCTCCAAGATGGAGCATTCTTACAATAATCCCCTCAAGGAAGGTTCCTTGACGTTCGTGAGGGGCTCTTGATCTAGGGAATTGGATCTGTGCTCCAGTTCCCTGAATTAAGCCTGAATACCTTCCACATCCCCCACCCACCGGCGCTGCATAATCCTACGGGTTTAGCGCTCCCCTTTGATGATAGTAATAATAATATTATAAAAAAAGCGTTAAACCCACTAAGGTCCAAGATGGAGTAAGATGGTCCAGGATGGGTCAAAATAGTCCAGGACAGGGCAAAATGGTCCAGGGTGTGACGAAATGGCTCAGGATGGGACGAAATGCTTCAGGATTGGACAAAATGGTCCAGTACAGGCAGAATGTGCATTTGTTTTGAGGTAAGATGTGTTTATTTATGTTTCAGCTGGACTACAGCGAGTGTGGGGACGAGGCTCAACCTTCACCCAAACACATGAAGCTCTTCACGGACTCACCACCCAGTCCAGACCGTCAGTTCTGTTCCTCTACCACCTCCATGGCCAGTGACTCTGCCCACACACCCTCAGAGGTGAGTCTCACCGGTCTGAGGAGTCTTAGGCGTACGTAGAATATATCCTGGTGCCTAGAACATCTACTAGTAGTCAAGACCTACTTTTTTTTCCAGTTTTAATTTTGCCTTAGCCTGACGAATTATCCTGAACAATTGTGTGAAAAAAGTCACAGAACGGGCGGGGATTTGAACGATGATAAGTCCCACCCGTTCCGTGATATGTCTGTAGTTGTGAATTATGATTTCATGATTGACGATTTTGTAAAGCTTTGCCAATCATTTTTCAATGTTTTTTTTTTTTTGATCAGTAGTTAAAATGGTAGTTTATGAAGGAGCTAGATGAGTATTTGTGTAGAGTGACAGCACCTCTACCCGCAGAGTCTACGGGAGGATGACGGGCCCAAGAGATCGTGTCTGGTGTGTGGTGATATCGCTTCCGGCTTCCACTATGGTGTCGCTTCCTGCGAAGCTTGTAAAGCTTTTTTTAAGAGAACCATCCAGGTGAGCACACCAGCTGACTTCCCAGCTGACTTCCCAGCTGGCTTCCCAGCTGGGACAACTGCTAATATTATGTATACAAACAAACCACTGTTTGAATCTGTCTGTCAAGACTTCTTCAGAATACATACACACAAGCTGGAGAGTGAAGTAGTGGAGGTAGGATCCATACATAGCTTTAAGAAGAGGTACGATAAGGCTCTTGCAGCAGGGATAGTGGACCTAGTGGCGACTAAAGAAGAGGCGGGGGCAAGAACTAAGACTCAACTCGTACAACCACAAATAGGTGTGTACACATACACATACACAAACACACGCACTATACACAACAGGCCAAGTGTTCTACAGACAAGCGCCTTTGACAACTAAACCAGTAACTACAGGGCATCCTGCAGGTCTTGTTTAACAAACGACTACTGGAGTTTAACCCCAGCAAGTACAAAGTTATGAAGTTTGGGGAAAGGGCAAAGAAGACCGCAAACGGAGTACAGGCTCAGGAAAAGGCTGCAAACCTCCCTCAAGGAAACTCCTTGGGGTAAGTATTGTATCGAGCATATCACCTGAGGCGCACATCAACCAAATAACTGCTGCAGCATATGCGCATCTGCCAAATATAAAACTAGCTTTTAGACAGCTAAAGAATTTTTCATGACACTGTATACCATGTACGTCAGGCTCATACTGGAGTATGCAGCACCAGTATGTAACCCACACCTGGTCAAGCATGTCAGTAAGTTAGAGGAAATGCAGTCTACAACAAGTTTAGTCCAGGAGCCAAAGTTATAGAACCTCAATCTGACGTCACTGGAGGACAGGACTAGCGGTGATATAACATGCAAAATACTGAGAGGAACTGAGAGGGTGAATAGGGACAGATTGAGAGGCAGGAAACAGGAACACGTGGTCACGGCTGGAAGATAAAAACTCAGATGAGTCACAGGGATGTTAGGAAGATATTTAATCAATAACACAACAGCTAGAGAACATTCGGACAAGTTGCTGGAGATGTAATGGTAAAATGGCAAAATGCAATGAATACTAGTCAGAATGCTTGTCGTCAAGAAGGCGCTGGACAGGCACCTAAAGTCAGTATCTGACCAGCTGAGCTGTGGCTCGTACGTTGGTTTACGTGCACTAACAGCCTGGGTGATCAGGTCCTGATCCACCACGAGGACTGGTCATGGACCGGGCCGCGGGAGCACTGACCCCAGAAATCCCCCCTCCAGGTATGCGGGAAAGGATGAATATTAATGAGTCACGCCAGTGTTATCCTGAGTCCCTCGAAAAAGTGATGGACCGGCTACAGCTGACAGGCGCAAACAACAACAGCTGAGGAAATGAGAGTGAAGTTGCATACGGTGTATGTGAGTGAGGAAGAAATAACTGCACTGTGCCAGGGTTCTTAAACTAGGGTGAACCATCTTATACAAGGAAGGTACTGCTACAGCATGACCACACGAAGTCAACTAAACACATCAGTTAGGATCGCCAGTGATAAATGGTGAAGATAAATGAGCAAGTTGTTGCTAGAAGTGGAGGATAAGATAGATAAATACAGGAAGAGGTGGAAGCTCGTTGTACAAACGAAGGGGGGGATGGAGGGAATTGTAACAATAGGTTAGTGAGGAGAGATAAGGACGCTGCAGGAGAAGGGAGTTGAGAAGCTATATGTAGAAAGTAAAGGAGAAGAGAGGAAAGAATTCAAGAAAGGATCATAGAAAAGTGGGATGCTATATGCACACCAGCACTATAATAAAAGAGAAGGTAGTTGATATAAGAGCGACCATGAGTAAAGTGCAATCAAGAGACAACACGAATGACGAGACACAACAGGATGGAGAGAGAGAGAGAGAGAGAGAGAGAGAGAGAGAGAGAGAGAGAGAGAGAGGAGAGAGAGAGAGAGAGAGAGAGAGAGAGAGACCAAGTTATTATCGATCAGGAGAACAAAATGTATACGGAACTTGAAGGAAGAAGGCTGCCCTGACAGAGGAGAAGCACATCAGAATGTCAGGACACTACCTCTAAAAATCTGTTTTGCAAGTACATAAACGAAATGATATACATCCTATGAGCCTTCTGATTACTGTATATTTTGTAATGCAGTAATGATAAATAATCTTAATCTTAAACCCTACTAGTGGGTCAGAAATCAAAATTAAGGGAGATACAAAGAGTCGATGTGGTTTTCATCAAAGAGGTCAGAAGCCAGAGGGTAAGCAAAGACAAGGAGATATGTGAGAGAAAGCAAAGAATGGAAGAACAGGACAAGGCAGAGGAGCGTCTTTCTTGTGAGAAAGCCAGAGTAAAAGGAAGGGTTAGTGGAAAAAACAACATATATGATCACCCCCTCACACTTGCATTCCAGTGATCCTGCTCGCGGCCCCGACCCATACCTCCTTCATCGCCTATCCCTACCCTATGGTCATCGGCAAACTGTTACTCACATTACAATATTACCCATTCCCTGCATCCTCTTCCTCCTCTTGAGATTGCTTTTCTCTTTCCCGGGACTTCCCCAACACCTCCACCTCGGCATCACCAGTCCTCATTCCTATCAATCCCTTTCTCTTCTCTGGGTCGCCATCCCCATCAATCACTGTCTCATCATTGCCCAAGTTATCACCCGCATTCTTCAGTCTCACCGCCTCCAGTCACCTTTAGTGTCTGCCCCAACCCTCGTATTGTTTTCACCTGCCTCTGTCTATCTTACATCTTTCCACTCAACATCCATGAAACCCGTCCTCCACACATTCATCATCACTCTCACATTCACCCATGACCCCTAAAGCCGCCTCTTCATACGTACATACAAAAGCCTCTTCCACTCTTCTTTCCCCAATGTTTCTCCTTGTATATATATCTAAACCTTTCCAACTCCCTGTCGACTCTCTTGAAACTCAATATTCACTCATACTCAAGAGAAATTCCCACACCCAGCAAACCTCGAGGCCTGAAACAGAATAACAAGCACTATTTGTATCTGTCTGGCTCCACATAAATGCTATAAAAAATGACAGGCAAACTATCATAATAATAATAATCTATTTCTACAAGTACATGATACAAGGTATACAGACTATAGTTGACATCAATGACATACTACACAGAAAGCCTCTGGTTATGCTGAGTATTTCGGGCAACTTAGGTTAATTTTGTCCCCAGGATACCACGTACACCAGTCGGCTAACACCTAGGCACTACTTATAGCAGGTGTAAAGAAATCACATCCAATGTTTCCACCAGTACCGGGAATCGAACCATGGACACTCAGTGTGTGAGCCGAGTGTGCTACCAACCGATCTACAAGATATTAGAGCCCTCACAGAGTCTTACGATTAGCGTGTCCGAAATTCATGGTATAATTAGTGGCCGCCTAAGCCTACATTTGTCTCAAATTATACAGGGTGTTTCAAAAAGATAGACCCAATTTCAGTGCAATATTGCTTTGAAATTGAGTCCATCTTTTAAAACACCCTGCATTTGTATACAAAAACCACAGTCAAGTGAACGTATATCAACTGTAACTTATTGGTTTGGATCATAAAATAAAGATGATTTAATCTGAACGTGGATAAAGACAAGTTCAGTATTTTAATATGGGTGTGTAAAATTACATTGATCTGAATGTATCACTATGTACATAACAGTAAATGAACAAAGATAATTATTATTTATCAGTTAGACAAGTAGGAATTTGGGACACTTAGGTCGCAAAAAATGTCCCCCTTCGATACCTACCACTGTCATATCCACAAGTTGCTCTGGACCTATTAATTACAAATGAAAAATACATCACCAGGAATGCTGGTAAATATATAAATTTGTGGACTGTATATTAAATTAATAAAGAATTATATATACACACATTTACATAACAGAAAGAGAATATCTTAATATCACTCACCAAATTGACTGGAGATTAAGGTGTATCATACTCAGAAAACCTCACTGTCTAAATTTATGAAAATACTGGCCAGAATTAAACATAAACAGACTTATCTGAGGTTCCTGGAGCTGTCTTGTCCAGTCGCCCGATACTCAAATTATGCAGGAATGCACATCCAACAATTTCGCCTCCTATTTGAGAGGTGTCAGCCCAAATTTAACCTCATAGAGCACGAAAATTTCTTCCCATTACTAATGTCTGTTACTCAATTCAAAAACAAAAATGGCGAGTGTCGTCTGCGCAGGCGCAGCTTCCCATTTTCGATAACATAATTTATTAAATACAATATAAGCCATCTATTTACCTATAAATTACCGTATTTCTGGAAAATATATACAGTATTTTCCACAATGGGTAACACTAATGAGAAAATCAAGAAGGAATGTAAGACGTTGTCTATTAATGGCCCCAGCAGCCAGGCTTCAGAACAGTCCTAAATTAGAGAGGGATTATTACAGGAATAAGATGCTGAAGGTTAAAAACCACTGGAGATTTCAGTTGAAAAATGTAAACACCAGTGAGTCTCAGAAATATGGAACCGTGAAGGAGTGGACACTAGACTGGAACAGTACATCAGTAACCCGCACACGGGAGACTTAAACTAGGCACTGGTCCACTAGTCCAGTTTCAAGCATAACTGTGAGAGAACTATCTCAGTAACTTCTCACCCATAAGATAAGATTTTCTTCGGATTTTTAACCCCGGAGGGTTAGCCACCCAGGATAACCCAAGAAAGTCAGTACATCATCGAGTACGGTACTGTCTTATTTCCATTGTGGGCCTCAATTTTGTCCCCCAGGATGCCACCCACACCAGCCGACTAACACCCAGGTACCTACTTGCTGCTAGGTGAACAGGACAACAGGTGTAAGGAAACACGTCGAAATGTTTCCACCCCGCTGGGAATCGAACCCGGGCCCTCCGTGTGTGAAGCGAGAGCTTAAGCCACCAGGCCACCGGGGCCATCAAATTTCCTCCAACACTAAACATTTTGGGAGGTCAGATATTTCCACTGTATATAAAACAGAAAATCGTGAGTCGTGTTCATCCAGTTCGTATAAACCAAAAAAAAATGGGCTATATGCAGACACAACTGTATTAGTTAATACAAAATATCGGGCTATACAGATCAGCAGAGTGGAGAGAAACACTTGAAATAATGATTCCAACAAGCTAGCAACAGTGATAACGAAAATCACAGAACACGACAAGAGTGACAACACTCTTATCTTACCACTACAAGTTGTGCAGTCGTTGGGAGAAGAAATCTCCAAGTAAACTGCTATCAACCTGAAGAAGAAGAAGAAGAAGAAGAAGAAGAAGAAGAAGAAGAAGAAGAAGAAGAAGAAGAAGGAGGAGAAGAAGAAGAAGAAGAAGAAGAAGAAGAAGAAGAAGAAGAAGAAGAAGAAGAAGGAGGAGGAGGAGGAGGAGGAGGAGGAGGTGGAGGAAGAGGAGGAGGTCGAGTTGTTTAATGATAGGCCGGTAACAGGACTTGTGTGCCGACCTTCCTGATATGCCAACATGTTGCTGTTAGCCTCACCATCAGTGAGAAAAATTTCCCCAGTCACCCTGCCATATCTGTCCTCGTCTTATTATGGTATATGTTACTATGTATGATAACTGTATTTATGTGTACCTGTACCTAAATAAACTTACACATGGAAGGCCGAGGAACTAGTCACATGTCTCTTTTTTTCCCACTGTGAATATTCAACGGGTTTGAATGAAGTCCGGTTTCTGACTCTGGATGAGGCACTGTGGTCATCACTCAGGACTTACCTTAAATAAGTTTATTTAGGTACAGGTACACAAAATACAGTTAGACAAATTATCATACATAGTAACGTGTGTAAATTACCCACTAGGATAACACACAAAAAAAACTAAGTGACCTATTTCCATTGTGATCCTTATATCTTGTTATTTAAATATTAAAAATTAAAACAGAAGGTAAATATATTCAATTACAGGTACAAACAAGTACAATTATCATACATAATGTAAATTACCTAGAATAATCCCCTCAAAAAGTCAAAGTGACTTATTTCCATTGGGGTCCTTACATTACCTATATCATATATGAATCTTCACCTTATATGAAAACATTCATAAAGGGGACCAAGAGCTGTGTATACTGAGTAAGTTACTGTGTCAGCAGGGCAACATAGAGTACACCTGTCCTGCCGCTAATGACTGCGAGATTAACAAAAGGAGAAGGAAGGCCTGCCAAGCCTGCCGCTTCCACAAGTGTCTGAGAGTTGGCATGCTCAAGGAGGGAGTCAGGTCAGTCACTCACTGTTTCCTAGTCATCACAGTACGTTATAATGAATGATATTCCCATCATAATGCATGTATTTCCAATCACAGTATGTTTTTTCCCATAATGTATTTCCAATCATAGTGCAGTATAATGTTTTTCCCATCACAGTACATTATAATGGATGTTTTTCCCATCACAGTACATTATAATGGATGTTTTTCCCATCACAGTACAGTATAATGGATGTTTTTCCCATCACAGTACATTATAATGGATGTTTTTCCCATCACAGTACATTATAATGGATGTTTTTCCCATCACAGTACATTATAATGGATGTTTTTCCCATCACAGTACATTATAATGATTTTCCCATCATAATGCAGGTATTTCCAATCACAGTGCAGTATAATGGATGCTTTTCCCATCACAGAACATTATAATGAATGAGTTTTCCCATCATAATGCATATATTTCCAATTACAGTATAATGAATGTTTTTCCAATAATGTCTTTCCCATCACAGTACATTATAATGAATGATTTTCCCATTATAATGCATGTATTTCTAATCACAGTGCAGTATAATGATGTCTTTCCCACCACAGTACAGTATAATGATGTTTTCCCATCACAGTACATTATAATGAATGATTTTCCCATTATAATGCATGTATTTCCAATCACAGTGCAGTATAATGGATGCTTTTCCCACCAGGCTCTGGTGGCTAACACACTCGCTTCACACGGCGAGGGCCCGGGTTCGATTCCCAGCCAGGGTAGAAACATTGGGCGTGTTTCTTTCCACCTGTTGTCTATGTTCCCCATCAGTAAAATGGGTACCTGGGTGTTAGTGGACTGGTGTGGGTCGCATCCTGGGACACTGACCTAATTTGCCCGAAATGTTCAGCATAACAAGGGGCTTTCTATATAGTAGTATGTCATTGATGTCAGCTATGGTCTGTAAAGCATGTACATGTACTTGCAGTAAATAAAGATATATTATTTTTATTATTATAATGCATGTATTTCCAATCACAGTGCAGTACGTATAATGTTTTTCCCATCACAGTACAGTACAATGTATATTTTTCCCATCACAATGCAGGTTTTCCCATCAATACAGTCTGAGGGAAACGCGTTATTTCCACCCGTACTGGGGATCGATAGTTTTGATCGTAGGACTGTATGTGTATTGTTCACTAGGGTTTGTATCTCATTCACAGCGCTTTCAGCTCATAACCAAAGGACCCATGTTTGATCCTGGGGTGAAAAGAAATGTTAGGTGTGTTTATATCTGTGGCTTCTGTTCACCTACAAGTACTTAGGTACCTGGGTGTTAGCAGACTCTTGTGGGTTGCGTCCTGGAGAGAACCAAACACCCAATGAAAATGAAACACACCAAGTGGCTTTTTTTTTTTAAAGAAGGGGGGATTATCCTGGGTTACTAACCCTCTGGGATTAATAACTAAAGATTAATAAATTGGTCATATTCAAGTTAAACTTCGTAAGAGGATTACTCAGAAATTTTGGAAGTACAGTGGACCCCCGGTATTCGATGGCATCGGTATTCGATGCATTATATCGCAAAAAATTTTCCTCGGTATTCGATACGATTCGTACAAGACCTGGCCACATGTGGCCTGAACTGCCCCTTGTGTGCCAGTGTTTACAAGCCAGCCAGTGTGCGTGCATCTAAGGATACATTCGGTACATTCCATGTTATCCATATTATCACTGTGTTTGGTGCTTGTTTCTGCAAAATAAGTCACCATGGGCCCCAAGAAAGCTTCTAGTGCCAACCCTGTGGTAAAAAGGGTGAGAATTAGTATGGAAATTAAGAAAGATTTTGAAGGGTTTGGGGCTAACCCTGAGATGCCTATACCAGTTGTGGAATACATTGTGCCTACTTCAAAAATTAAGGAAATGTGTGCACAGTGGGTTGAAGTGCAAACCTTTATGGATGAAAATCGCCCTAACACAGCTATTACAATGACAATATTGTGGCCCATTTTAGACAAATCGTAAAGGAACGGGAGGTACAGAGCTCTATGGACAGATTTGTTGTGCGACAGAGGTCCAGTGACTCTCAAGCTGGTCCTAGTGGCATTAAAAGAAGAAGGGAAGTAACCCTGGAAAAGGACTTGCTACCTCAAGTCCTAATGGAAGGAGATTCCCCTTCTAAACACTAACACCTCTCCCCTCCTTCCATCCCATCAATCATCACCAGATCTTCATTAAAGGTAAGTGTCAATTATTTTATTGTTATTGTAATTATTGTATTGCATTAAACTTAATACAGTGGACCCCCGCATAGCGAACTTAATCCGTGCAAGAGGGCTGGTCGTTATGCGAAATGTTCGCTATGCGAATTAATTTTCCCCATAAGAAATAATGGAAATATAATTAATCCGTGCAAGACACCCAAAAGTATGAAAAAAAAATTTTTTTACCACAAAAAAATGTTAATTTTAGTACACACAAACTGAAAAAGGCATGCACAATTACATGACACTTACTTTTATTGAAGATCTGGTGATGATTGATGGGATGGGAGGAGGGGAGAGAGAGTGTTAGTGTTTAGAAGGGGAATCCCCTTCCATTAACACTTGAGGAGGCAAGTCCTTTTCCGGGGTTACTTCCCTTCTTCTTTTAATGCCACTAGGACCAGCTTCAGAGTCACTGGACTTCTTTCTGTCCATAGAGCTCTGTACCTCCCGTTCCTTTACGATTTGTCTAAAATGGGCCATAACATTGTCATTGAAATAGTCACCAGCACGCCTTGCAACAGCTGTGTCAGGGTGATTTTCATCCATAAAGGTTTGCAGTTCAACCCACTGTGCACACATTTCCTTAATTTTTGAAGTAGGCACAATGGATTCCACAACTGGCATAGGCTTCTCAGGGTTAGCCCCAAACCCTTCAAAATCTTTCTTAATTTCCATACTAATTCTCACCCTTTTTACCACAGGGTTGGCACTAGAAGCTTTCTTGGGGCCCATGGTCACTTATTTTCAACAAACAGAACCGAAAACACTGTAATAATACGAAATATTCCGAGTGTATGCTTGAATGTTACCGCGGAGGCTAGCTGGTAAACAATGGGACAGGCGGCACATGTGAGGCTGGCTGAGGCCGCACATTGGACGCGTCTCGGACGAAGTTCGCTGAGCGGGTTTTTGTCTACTATGCGGGGCAAAATTTTAGCGATCAAAGCGTTCGCTATGCGGAATGTTCGCTATGCAAGGCGTTCGCTATGCGGGGGTCCACTGTATGTATTTCATGTAGTAAAATTTTTTTTTCATACTTTTGGGTGTCTTGCATGGATTAATTTGATTTTCATTATTTATGAGGAAAATTGATTCGGTTTTCAATATTATCGGTATTCGATGAGCTCTCAGGAACGGATTAATATCGAATACCGGGGGTCCACCGTACAGGCACTCCTTGATTTACGATGGTGTGACTTACGATGGTATGACTTACGATATTTCAACTTTACGATGGTGTAAAAGCAATTAGTACTTAGATGAAACTAAAGATAATTACCCAACATGAAGGTGGCAAATCTGTAATTTATACTTATTTATTTACTTTTCAATACTGGTATTTAGTTAATTACAGTAATTGTTTATTTATTTATATAGTCATTGACAGTAGTTATTTACTTGTTTATTTGGCAGAATTCTTCCTCTGTGTGCCACGTGTGTCATAAGAGGCAACTAAAAGGCTGGAAACAGAGGGCTTGTAGCCCCTTCTCCTGTATAAATTACTAAATTTAAAAAGAATTTTTTTCTTTTTAGGTCACCCTGCCTCAGAGGGGATATGGCTGGTGTATTAAAAAAAATATTCATATTCAACTTGCGATATTTTTGACTTACGATGGATTTCTTGGAACATAACCCCATCGTAAGTCGAGGAGTACCTGTATAATGAACAAAACTGTCACTTCCTTTAAAAGGTATACAGTGTATATGCCTCATGTATACAGTATATATCTCATGATGTATATATACAAAGGTATATATACATCATGAAGTACATATATACTGTATACAGAATATACTTTGATAAATATATTTGGGATTTAAATATTCTTGCCTGATTGTGCCAAGGAGACACACACTATGTGTGAGCGATAGGTTTTAATTATAATCATAACCAAGCACTGAACCCTTAAGGGTCATACAGCGATAGGTTTTAATTAAACTTAACCAACCAAAAAATGAAATACGTATAACATATGTTGTATGTAAATTGCACCTGTTGTTCCAACTTACCTTTGCTCAGTTTTACAGCTGTAATTCTTCCATAGGTTAGACCGGGTGAGAGGAGGAAGACAGAAGTACAGACGAACAACAGAGTCGCCCTTTTCGCTGCATCAGATGCCTGTCAAGAAAGTTTCATTGGAAGGTTGGTATATTATTATTTGATCACAGACTGGGCCATGGGGGCATTGACCCCCAAAACCCTCTGCAGGTATACTCCAGGTGTTAAAGCACAGAACCTGCAAGTGTTATCCCTCACCTGGAAAACGAGAGGCGACCATGTTTGATTTGAAGAAGGGGAGGCTAGCTCCAATTCTTCAGTAAAATCAGGGTATTCGATTGGGTATTATTGCTGTCCACAGTTTACTAAAAAAAAAAAACTGCCAGTACACTGTACTATACAGAATGATGTCTCAGTGTACTACTATTAATATTATACTACTCACAAAATGACAATAAAATCCCGTGCTCATACTTTGCTATATTTGTTGAAGTGTAATTGCTTGTAAGTACAACTTTGTTAATTCTTTTGTATGACAGCTTTGTTGCAAGGATACCATGTGACATTTGTGCAAGTATTTGTTCCATGTTAAAAGTGTGCAATATTGTTTGAGGATATCATTGTTTTAGTATGAGTGATGGTGATGATGGTCAGGTAATTTATTATTTTTACTACTGGCTGTCTGATAGCAAGGTAGAGTGACCCAGAAAAGAGGAAACACATTCACTGTCATTCACTTAATCACTGTCTTGTCAAAAGCATGTAGATGATCCTCAACTGCAGCATCCTCACCCCTCCTTCAGAATGCATGCACTGTACTTTCCACCTCCAGGACTAAAGTCTGGCAAACCAGTTGCATGAAATTCCTTCATGTTACCTTACTCTCACAGCCCGACAGCATATCACACATGGTCACAAAACACTTGCCTCCAGTCACTGCGATCTAATGTGCTCCCACAAGCCTGTTGTATGTTCAAGCCTCCGTCACTCAAAGAATCCTTAATCCCCCTTCCTACAACCCTTTTTAGGATGACCTCCATCGCAGATTTATACCCTCCGGGTCATCCTATTTTGCTCCTTCATCTCTAAGTGCCCAAACCACTACAACAACTGCTCCTCAGCCCTCTGAATTATACTTTTGGTAACTCCACACCCTCTAATATCCATGCTCTAAATTCTCTGCATAATATTCATACTACACATTGCCGTCAACATGACATTTCCACTGCCTCCAGCCTCTGCCTCACAGCAACAATTAAAATTTTTACACCTATATAACAGCGTTGGTGTTTCATCTGCTGATAAATCCACTCCCAAATATCTGGATTCCTTTACTTTATGCATACTCCCTCCCTCCAATCTAATATCCAATATTTCACTGCTTAGATTTTTTGTTATTCTCATTACCTTGCTCTTCCCTATGTTCACTATCAATTTCAATGTTATGTACCCTTCTAAATCACCTCCATCAACCTTTGCAACTTCTCTTCGGAATCCCCTAAAAGAAGTGTCAACAGCAAAGACCAACTGTGATAATTTACACCTCGTATTTAACGCTTGATCTTTTAATCCCACATTCTAGCAGTCACTTCTTTTACAATGCTATTTTTGTTAAACATTCATGATGACATCACACATTTCTGTATAAGACTTCCTTTTTATAAAATAACCTGCCCTCTCTACTATATAACCTAACCTCAGCCTTATTATCCTTATAAAACCTTTACTGCTTTATAGTAACTTACCACCTATTCCATTCCTTTGCAACATCAGCCACATTGCTCTCCTAGCCACCCTATGATATACCTTTTCTAAAACCATAAGTGCGGCAAAAAGTTCCTTACCTCTATTAAATACTGTAAACACTTGGTGTACACATCCTTTATCCTTCCTAAATCCTCCTTGTTCCTCTGCAATCCTACTTTCTGTGTTACCCTTAATTTTCCAATACTGCTATTACCATTCATATTACCCAGTACATATACTGAAGGTTTGGTCCCTTTATTTCTAAACACCTTTTCCCTTTTATTCAAATTCAAATGGCTAGAACTGTACATGCTCTCTGACAGTTTAATGTACCTTTACTTATTTCAAGTATATATTTACACAAATACAGCAACCACTACAACACCATATCCCCTGACCTGCTATTAGCATTTCTGTTATAATCCCATATATCCCAGCTGCTTTACCCACTTTCATTCTACCCACTGCCTCAAGTTCCTCCACACTCACATCTGTCTCTAGCTTACTCCTACAAGATACTAAATTTCCCTTCCACTAGGTAGGGAGATGTACTAACAATGTCGCTGCTTCCCATTCTTCATCAACATTTAACAACTCAGAATATTCCTTCCATCTTCCCAGTACCTCCAACTCTCCATTTAACATCTCTTCTCTTGTTTTGAACTGTTAAATAATTTGTTCCCTAGGCTTTCTAAACTTTTCAAGCTCCCTGCAATTTTTTTTTTTCTTATTCTAGCAAAATTTGTTGAGAAATCCTTTCCCATTCTCTCATTAGCTCTCCTTTTGCAGTCCCTCACCAGTTTTTAATCTCTGCCCTCTGTATATCACTTCTGCATTGTAAAAGCCTCTCATTTGCAATTTTTTCTCCTATACCACCATTTATACTTCTTCATTCCATCACTCTTTTTCCCATCAGCAACCTCTGCTAAACACAAACTTCTACCGTGTACTCTTAACACTGCATTCTTAAATCTAGCTCATACCTCTTTGACCCCATCCTCATTACCTGTACTCAAATCTTTCTCTCAGTTGGTATTATATCTTTCTCTACCTCCTTTAATTCATTTTCATCTCTCTCTCTCTTTTGCACACCATCTTTCCGTTACTCCCACCATAGCTACCACTAAATTATTTTTTTTTTTTTAACAAGTCGGCCGTCTCCCACTGAGGCAGGGTGACCCAAAAAGAAAGAAAGTCCCCAAAAAGAAAATACTTTCATCATCATTCAACACTTTCACCTCACTCACACATAATCACTGTTTTTGCAGAGGTGCTCAGAACACAACAGTTTAGAAGCATAAATGTATAAAGTTACACAGCATATCCCTCCAAACTGTCAATATCCCGAACCCCTCCTTTAGAGTGCAGGCATTGTACTTCCCATTTCCAGGACTCAAGTCCGGCTATATAAAAATAACCGGTTTTCCTGAATCCCTTCACTAAATATTACCCTGCTCACACTCCAACAGATCGTCAGGTCCCAAATACCATTTGTCTCCATTCACTCCTATCAAACACGCTCATGCAAGCCTGCTGGAAGTCCAAGCCCCTCGCCCACAAAACCTCCCTTACCCCTTCCTTCCAACCTTTTCGAGGACGACCTCTACCCCGCCTTCCTTCCCCTAAATTATGATCTGATATACACCTACCATCCGACTTACGACCTGCTCGACTTACGACCACTCGACTTACGACTGTGTTTTTTATGCCAAATTTCTGGGAAATAAACAACTATTTGTGTTGTACTCAGTGTTTATCCTAAACCTTACAGTATAAAATACAGTACTAACAACATAAAAAGTAAAGTAAAACATGAAATACCAAAATAAAACAATAAAATAAAGTCATTACAAAAATGTTTTGTTGATATTCAGTAGTAAAGTTCGACTTACGACCATTTCGACTTACAGCCGGTTTCTCGGAACCGAACTCGGTCGTAAGTCGGATGGTAGGTGTATCTGTTGCCCCTCTAGAAACATGCATATCCAGGATTCTACCCGTTACGTTGTTGTCTCCTTTTCACTTCGATGGCAGGATTCTCAGTATGTGCTCTGATGTGTTGTAGCTCATTAATGTCTTATAGAATCGAGGGGAATGCTTACATTCACAATTAGTCCTTCTCAGTCCTGGAATATTTATTTGCCCATCCTCTCAGATAATAGGTTATTTAAACTACAGTGGACCCCCGGTTAACGATATTTTTTCACTCCAGAAGTATGTTCAGGTGCCAGTACTGACCAAATTTGTTCCCATAAGGAATATTGTGAAGTAGATTAGTCCATTTCAGACCCCCAAACATACACGTACAAACGCACTTAAATAAATACACTTACATAATTGGTCACGTTCGGAGGTAATCGTTATGCGGGGGTCCACTGTATTACAAATTTTTTTTTTTTTTTTTTCAACAAACCGGCCATATCCTACCAAGGCAGGGTGACCCAAAAAGAAAAACGAAAGTTTTACTTGGTAATTTGCACAGGAGAAGGGGTACTAGCTCCTTGCTCCAAAAATATTATTATTATAATCAAGTAAGACCAAGGTAGTAGGTTGGTAGACAGCAACCGCCCAGGGAGGTACTACCGTCCTGCCAAGTGAGTGCAAAACAGAAGCCTGGAATTGTTTTACATGATGGTAGGATTGCTGGTGTCCTTTTTTATGTTTCATAAACATGCAAGATTTCAGGTACGTCTTGCTACTTCTACTTACACTTAGGTTACACTACACATGTACAAACATATATATACACACCCATCTGTGTTTTCTTCTATTTTCTTTCTAGTTCTTGTTCTTGTTTATTTCCTCTTACCTCCATGGGAAAGTGGAACAGAATTCTTCCTCCGTAAGCCATGCGTGTTGTAAGAGGCAACTAAAATGCCGGGAGCAAGGGGCTAGTAACCCCTTCTCCTGTATATATTACTAAATATAAAAGGAGAAACTTTCGTTTTTCCTTTTGGGCCACCCCGCCTCGGTGGGATACGGCCAGTGTGTTTAAAGAAAGAAGAAATCAAATAAGAAGCACTAAACCCACTAGGGTCATATAGCGCTGACCAAAATACCAATATATATATATTCTGTGGATAGGTATTTACAGCATATACATGCTAAGCATTATGGCCCAGTCTTTCCATTCATATTATTATAATCAAGGGGGAAGCACTAAACCCCTAGGATTATACAGCACCTGTGGGGAGGGAGATGGAAGGTATTCAGGCTCAATTCAGGGAACCAGACCACAGATCCAATTCCCCAGATCAAGAGCCCCTCACTAGCATCAAGGAACCTCTCTTGAGGGGAACAAATGCAGAGCAACCAACCTCTCTACTGCTTTTATACCCACAAACAACAGAACATCACCATGCACAATTCCTTAACTACCATAATTTTTTCTCTTATTACTGTACCTTAATTTACTTTTAAAATACTGTCTTTATAATCTACTTATTTTAATTGTGCGTGTTGTTTTACAACAGAACATATTTTATATCGAAATACAGCATTGATTCATCACGCCTCATTACATAAAAGTGATCAATTCTCACGACAGAATTAGGCAGTTGTGCCCACCAGCAGTTTAATATCACTGCTGCCCCTTCTTTAGCTCTAGTTCTCTCCGATACATAGAATTTAACCTCATTTACCCGCTCCATTCACTTTGCTTTGATGAGTAAGACTCACTTGCAACTGTTAGGTATCATTATTGTTGAAATGTTTCGATTACAGGGAATGCTTCATCAGTCAAATGTAGACAAGACTGCATTGTAGGCAGTGAGAGTAGTGGTGAGGTAAAGATGATGTAATCAGTCCATCAGCCTTGGAGAAATAGCTTGAGGTGGTCAGTCCCTCAGCCTGGAGAACAGTTCAGTATAAAATAGAGAAGTGTAGCAATGTTATGACAAGTTCGTACTGTTTACAACATATGCAGTTTGTAGGTAATTAAAGGGGTTAAAATCTAATATCGTCCTGCTGGGATGAACTTCACCAACACACTCTCTCCACAGTGAAGTCTTATTTTATTTAATCACCCAGTCATTGTTTCCCTGTTTTAGATAACAAGTTGTTGAAATCCCTCATTGCGTGTGAGCCGGATTCCTTATACGCCCTTCCGGACATGGCTGTTTCCGACGCAGATTATCTCACCATATCCACCTTGGCTGACCTGTATGACAGGGAACTCGTTTCCACCATTGGATGGGCCAAACAGATTCCAGGTATAACTTTGCAAATAATTTCTTTTATTTTATTTATGTTCTTTGTTTTATAGTAGTATGTATTGTATGGTATACTGTATGTTACTTTTATGATATGGTCATGCAGTATGACCCTTTTGGGTTTATCATTATTATTATTATTATGATATGGTCAGATTTTAATTTTGTAAACAAATTTATATAGTTGATTTAATACTGTAGTCACATAGGTCCATGTACTGTCGAAATTTCAATATAAAAATAGGTTAAGCAACAGGTTATAATAATAATAATAATAATAATAATAATAATAATAATAATAATAATAATAATAATAATAATAATAAAATTGTTTTCTGCAGTATACAAGTAATGTGATTTACATGTAAAAAAATATTCAATTCAATTCAATTCAAGTTTATTCTCTATAAGGGTTACAATGTGGGGTTTACAGGTTTTGGGTATTGTGTGGTTTACATGTTATAAAATACTAATTACAGAGGGGGCCACTAGGACACCTAGCATGGCTAGGCATTTCAAGCAGACTTAGATTAATTCTTTACATTAAATCCTTACAGATTATGGTATTAAGGCTAAGTGGTATTAGGCACAGGAGTAAGTTTATTTAGGTAGAGGTACATCTAAATGCAGTTACACAGATTATCATAGTAATGTATGTGTAAATTACCCACCAGGATAACACAGAAAAGTCATTCAAAGTGACTTATTTCCACTGGGGTCCTTGAAAGATTTTGTATCTCAGTAGGTAGTGTATGTTCATGAGGAATTAAGCAGGTTCAGTCCAAGGAAGGGAAGGGCAGCTTTGGTTTCTTTGGACTACTGGGTTATTATGGCTGTGATTTTGCAATTTCTTGCTCCACAGGAATCCTTGCAGAATTTCTTTGTTTTTTTAGTTGTTGAGGGTCTCATTTTATGGTATTTGTTTAACTTGTCACTTTGTTTTGCAACTCTTAAAAACAAAAACTACTTTTTGTCCAAGTAGAAAGACTGACCCAAATATGTACGTCCTCCTTAGTGCACTCTGCCTTTGCAAAACACATGTTGCAGTCTAATGAATGTTGACTTACCAATCTGCAGCATTCCCACATATTCCAGAGTACAGGCATTGTATTTCCTGTTTTCCAAGGCTTCATTGGTTGATGTGAAATTTTATAAATTTTTGTTCAACAGACTGGCTGTCTCCCACCCAGGCAGTGTGACCCAAAAAAAAAAGAAGATTTTCATAAAGTTTTTCTTCTTTTTACAGTTAGTGATTTATACAAGAAGAGGAGTTAGTAGCCCCTTGCTCCTGGCATTTTAGTTTTTATATATACATATGTATAGAATGTCTAGGAGGGCCTCCCTTATACAGCAGGGTAGGTTCCGGGCTACTGTTGTAAAACAAAATTCGCTGTAAAGTGAAACATAGCTTTTTTTTTTAATTTTCAAATGCATATAAAAGCCTGATAACATGTTTACACTATCTTATATTAAGTGAGCAATAGAACCAGGGCTAAAAAAAAAGCGTATACAGTACACACGTTACTTTTTTTTTTTTCAACAAGTCGGCTGTCTCCCACCGAGGCAGGGTGACCCAAAAAAGAGAGAAAATACCCAAAAAAGAAAATACTTTCATCATCATTCAACACTTTCACCACACTCACTCATAATCACTGTTTTTGCAGAGGTGCTCAGAATACAACAGTTTAGAAGCATATACGTATATACACAACATATCCCTCCAAACTGCCAATATCCCAAACCCCTCCTTTGAAGTGCAGGCATTGTACTTCCCATTTCCAGGACTCAAGTCCGGCTATATAAAAATAACCGGTTTCCCTGAATCCCTTCACTAAATATTACCCTGCTCACACTCCAGCAGCTCGTCAGGTCCCAGATACCATTCATCTCCATTCACCCCTATCTAATACGCTCACGCACGCTTGCTGGAAGTCCAAGCCCCTCGCCCATAAAACCTCCTTTACCCCCTCCCTCCAACCTTTTCGAGGACGACCCCTTTCCCGCCTTCCTTCCCCTACAGATTTATACGCTCTCCATGTCATTCTACTTTGATCCATTCTCTCTAAATGACCAAACCACCTCAACAACCCCTCTTCTGCCCTCTGACTAATACTTTTATTAACTCCACACCTCCCTAATTTCCACACTCCAAATTTTCTGCATAATATTCACACCACACATTGCCCTTAGACAGGACATCTCCACTGCCTCCAACCCCTTCCCTCGCTGCAACATTTACAACCCAAGCTTCACACCCATATAAGAATGTACAATAAACCACAATACCTGACTTGCCATACCAAAATAACCCTCACATATACTAACGACAGATCTTACATTCTGATTAACCTTCTTGTATCCACTGTGACACACTTACCCCAAATTCGAACTCACTTCTTAGCTTCCTCTCCCAATTTTATGTGCAAGTTTTTCTTTACATAAACAATTTGATACTCTCATCACTTCTCTTTTCTTGCTCACATATAACTTTCTATCTTTACACACACTCCCAAACCGTCTACTAACTTTGCAATTTTTCTTTAAAGGGAGAAAGGACTCCCAAATAGAAATAATCACTTCTGTCTACTTTTTTGGTTATCCAAGGTTTTCTACAACATATGCTGCTATGTATGGTAATCTATGTAACTGTATTGTGTATACCTGAATAAATTTACTTACTTACTTACTTACTTACTCCCATAAGCACAGTATTATCCTTAGCTTATAGTGAGTGGTGAATATATTTATTGTAGGAACTCTAAATAAATAAAAAACGAGTATAATTGAAAACCACTTCATTATAAAAATGGTATACAGTGAAGCACTGTAAAACAAGGCCTGCCTGTATCTCTGTAGAGTACTGGGCTTGCTACCAGAGGTAGGGTAACAGCTTGTACCTTGGAAATTCATATGCGTAAAATCCAGTAGTAATCCTTGCTTATATCTACAGGATTCACAGAACTAGCATTGAACGACCAGATGCGGCTGCTTCAAAGCACATGGGGAGAGATCCTAACCCTAGGGCTAGCATACCGCTCCATGCCTGCCCATGGCCACACTCTCCACTTTGCTCCTGACTTCACTTTAGATGAGAAGCAAGCAAGAGAATGTAATGCCACTGAGCTCTTCACTCAGGTCTGTACTGCAGTTATATGTAATATAAGTTTTCTAACTGACAGATACAGTGGACCCCCGCTTGACGATCACCTCCCAATGCAACCAATTATGTAAATGTATTTATGTAAGTGCATTTGTATGTGTATGTTTGGGGGTCTGAAATGGACTAACCTACTTCACAATATTCCTTATGGGAACAAATTCGGGCAGTACTGGCACCTGAACATACTTCTGGAATGAAAAAATATCGTTAACCGGGGGTCCACTGTATAATCTTTGTTTAATATGTAAATATTGCACAAGAATGATCTTCCTTTTACGATTTGGTTACCACAAAAAATTGGCTTATTGATCAGCAATATTTTTAATGCTCCTGTCCTCTCAAGGAAGGTTCCTTGATACTGTTGAGAGATTCTTGATCCAAGGAGTTGAACTTGTGCTTCATTTCCTGGGATTGAACCTGATTGCCTCCCTTCCACCAGGTCTAATATAACCCCTACAGGTTTAGCACTTCCCTTAAATATAATTCAGTAATAACAGTCAACTCAGATGTTTGACTTCCATAGGTTATTGGGCTTAAAAATTATATTTATTATATCAGAGACAGAGAATAAGACGAGAAATTTAGGCCAATAAAGAACTAGATAGGTTACGTTAGGTTTGTCGGGAAACGGGAAAAGTTTTTCGTGACTCGGGTCTTAGTCATGTGATGACCCACAGCTGGAGCTTTTGGTCATCTGACTGAGGCCTTCCACTGGCTTACCCCTCCACCCCTTTAAAAATTATAGAATTAAATTAAAAAAAAAAAATAGATATATGAACATTGCAATATTTTTAACATATTGCATAAAATATTGCAATATTCTAAAAATATTGCAGTATTTATAAAATATTGCATACTAGAAGAACAAAAAGGCGCAATACAGTGACTGGAACAACACACAAATAACTCATACACAGGAGAGGGAAACTTAAGACATTTCGGTCCAACTATTATTAATATAATCAAGGGGGAAGTGCTAAACCCGTAGGATTATACAGCGCCTGTGGGGGGATATGTGGAAGGTATTCAGGCTTAATTCAGGGAACCGGGGCACAGATCCAATTCCCTAGATCAAGAGCCCCTCACCAGCGTCAAGGAACCTTCCTTGAGGGGTCGGTCCAACTAGTTACGTATTGTTGAAGTCGAACGAAAAGATCATCATAAGTCTCATTCTCCTATCTGCGGTTTATTTGTATATATTGCACAGTAACTGCACTGTGCAGTATGACAGTGTCCAGGTTGAGCAAGAATTAGATGTGCAAGGCAGTGTGAAACTGATACAACTGTAGTACAGTGGACCCTCGCATAACTGTATTAATCCGTTCCTGAGAGCTCAATGTTATGCGAAATTATCGTTATATTTTTTATTTTATTATCACACTGGCCGATTCCCACCAAGGCAGGGTGGCCCGAAAAAGAAAAACTTTCACCATCATTCACTCCATCACTGTCTTGCCAGAAGGGTGCTTTACACTACAGTTTTTAAACTGCAACATTAACACCCCTCCTTCAGAGTGCAGGCACTGTACTTCCCATCTCCAGGACTCAAGTCCGGCCTGCCGGTTTCCCTGAATCCCTTCATAAATGTTACTTTGCTCACACTCCAACAGCACGTCAAGTATTAAAAAAACCATTTGTCTCCATTCACTCCTTATCAAACACGCTCCGCATGCCTGCTGGAGTCAAGCCCCTCGCACACAAAACCTCCTTTACCCCCTCCCTCCAAACCCTTCCTAGCCGACCCCTACCCCGCCTTCCTTCCACTACAGACTGATACACTCTTGAAGTCTTTTCTGTTTCGCTCCATTCTCTCTACATGTCCGAACCACTCAAACAACCCTTCCTCAGCCCTCTGGACAACAGTTTTGGTAATCCCGCACCTCCTCCTAACTTCCAAAACTACGAATTCTCTGCATTATATTCACACCACACATTGCCTCAGAAAACGACATCTCCACTGCCTCCGGGCCTTCTCCTCGCTGCAACATTCATCACCCACGCTTCACACCCATATAAGAGCGTTGGTAAAACTATACTCTCATACATTCCCCTCTTTGCTCCAAGGACAAGTTCTTTGTCTCCACAGACTCCTAAGTGCACCACTCACTCTTTTTCCCTCATCAATTCTATGATTCACCTCTCTTTCATAGACCCACCCGTGACACGTCCACTCCCAAATATCTAAAATACGTTCACCTCCTCCATACTCTCCCCCTCCAATCTGATATTCAATCTTTCATCACCTAATCTTTTTGTTACCCTCATAACCTTACTCTTTCCTGTATTCACCTTTAATTTTCTTCTTTTGGGCACACCCTACCAAATTCATCCACCAATCTCTGCAACTTCTTTCGAATCTCCCAAGGCACAGTGTCATCAGCAAAGAGCAGCTGTGACAACTCCCACTTTGTGTGTGATTCTTTATCTTTTAACTCCACGCCTCTTGCCAAGACCCTCGCATTTACTTACTCTTACAACCCCATCTATAAATATATTAAACAACCACGGTGACATCACAACATCCTTGTCTAAGGCCTACTTTTACTGGTGGAAAAAATTTCCCTCTTTCCTACATACTCTAACTTGAGCCTCACTATCTCGTAAAAACTCTTCACTGCTTTCAGTAACCTACCTCCTACACCATACACTTGCAACATCTGCACATTGCCCCCCTATCCACCTGTCATACGCTTTTCCAAATCCTAAATGCCACCAAGACCTTCTTAGGCTTATCTAAATACTGTTCACTTATATGTTTCACTGTAAACACCTGGTCCACACACCCCCTACCTTTCCTAAAGCCTCCTTGTTCATCTGCTATCCTATTCTCCGTCTTACTCTTAATTCTTTCAATTATAACTCTACCATACACTTTACCAGGTTATGCGAATTAATTTTCCCAATAAGAAATAATGGAAATCAAATTAATCCATGCAAGACACCCAAAAGTATGAACAAAATTTTTTTTTACCACATGAAATATTAATTTTAATACACACAAACTGAAGAAGACATGCACAGTTACATGACACTTACCTTTATTGAAGATCTGGTGATGATTGATAGGATGGGAGGAAGGGAGTGTTGATGGTCTTAGTGTTTAGAAGGGGAATCCCCTTCCATTAGGACTTGAGGTGTCAAGTCCTTTTCCTGGGTTACTTCCCTTCTTCTTTTTAATGCCACTAGGACCAGCTTCAGAGTCACTGGACTTCTGTCGCACAACATATCTGTCCATAGAGGTCTGTACCTCTCGTTCCTTTATGACTTTCCTGAAGTGGTTCACAACACTGTCAGTGTACAGGTTGCCAACACGGCTTGCCTGAACGTTCTGGGAGTTTCAGAATGATACACTAATAAAGGCTTCACTTTGCAATCACCACTAGCATTGGCACACATTAACAGAGTAAGCCTGTCTTTCATATGCTTATGTCCTGGGAGTGCCTTTTCCTCCTCAGTAATGTAGGTCCTGCTTGGCATTTTCTTCCAAAACAGGCCTGTTTTGTCACAATTAAACACTTGTTCAGGTTTCAGTCCTTCACTGTCTATGTACTTGAATTCCTGCACATATTTTTCAGCTGCTTTGTGGTCTGAACTGGCAGCCTCACCATGCCTTATCACACTATGTATGCCACTACGCTTCTTAAATCTCTCAAACCAACCTTTGCTGGCCTTAAATTCACTCACATCATCACTAGTTGCAGGCATTTTTCTAATTAAATCCTGATGCAACTTCCTAGCCTTTTCACTTATGATCGCTTGAGAGATGCTATCTCCTGCTATCTGTTTTTTGTTTATCCACACCAATAAGAGTCTCTCAACATCTTCTATCACTTGCGATCTCTGTTTCAAAAACACAGTTGCACCTTTGGCAAGAACAGCTTCCTTGATTGCCGTTTTCTTGGACACAATAGTAGCGATGGTTGATTGGGGTTTACTATACAACCTGACCAGCTCGGAGACACATACTCCACTTTCATACTTAGCAATTATCTCTTTCTTCATCTCTATAGTAATTCTCACCCTTATTCCTGTAGGGTTGGCACTAGAAGCTTTCTTGGGGCCCATGGTTACTTATTTTGCAGATGAAATCACCAACAACGCTGTAATAATACGAAATGTTCCGATTGTATGCTTGGATGTTACCGCGGAGGCTGGCTTGTAAACAATGCCACTGGCGGAACATGTGAGGCTGGCTCAGGCGCACACATGGACGCGTCTTGGACGAATAGCATTGAGCGAGTTTTTTAGTGCTATGCGAGGCAAAATTTTAGTGATAAAATGTATTGCTATGCAGATTTAACGTTATGTGATGCCAATGGTATGCGAGGGTCCACCATATAGGCAAATCTTTTTCACACATCATAATTATTACTCCATATTCACAGAAAAAGTGCACTGAACCTTTTTTTCTCTATTAGAAGTTATTGCTGCTTTAATTTTTAGTGATCCTATAGGTAAGCCTACCAGCTGATTTGCAACTTACATTTATTCCATATTAGTCACCCTGCCTTGGTGAGATATGGCTGGTTTGTTGAAAAGACATTAATTACCTCATAATATAAACAGTACAATGAAATTCTGTGCAAAAAGTAGATGGCTGGGTAACATTAATATATAGCAGCTATGTGAGAGTAAATACTGTAGTAAATAAAAAGAGCTGTTTGTATGCACTATATTATACACAATTCAGGAGGTCCCCAATGTATTTGCAAGTTGAGGACTTCCTGTATTTGTCGTATTGTATAGAAATTACCTCCATCAGGGGGCCGGGGGTGGAGCAGGCAGGTCATGACCCCTCTCCCTCTTTCCTGAACTTTTTTCTTAAGATTAATAATGATTTTTATACTTAAGACTCATTTGTCGTGTCTTAAAGTAGAAGGCTTTTCGAATTACTCAAATTCACATTCTTACACAACACAGGTTTTGGGCGTTGTGGAGCGATTGGAACAGTGTGGAATCAACAGGGAAGAATTCCTACTCCTGAAAGCCCTTGTCCTGACTAATTCCGATGTGCGACTTCAAGACAATCAGGCCCTCCACCGCCTAAGGCAAAACATCCTCCAGGCGTTGCATGATGCAGTTGCTACTATCAGGTTGGTCTGTCACTTTCTCTTCTGAATAGCCAATTTTTCAGTATTTCTTGGTGTCTCTGTTCCCTATCAATTCTCCTGACATGCTTGGGTCAAAGGGGATTCCCAGATATTTCACTGAAGATACTGAAGTGATGGGTTTCCTCATTACACTGAACATTAAAATTATTTACACTTTTCAGTTTATCTTTCTTGCCAAAGAGTATGGCTTCTGTTTTCCTGAGGTATAATGGTAATTTGTTGTCTGCACTTTGGGAAGACAGAAGCCATACTCTTTGGTACGAAAAATAAACCGAAGAGGATAAATAATTTTAATGTCTAGTGTATGGGGAACCCATCACTTCAGTATCTTCATAATATCTTGTGATTTTTTAACTGATACTGATTTGTCACATTGACTGGAATTTCCATACTTTCTGCCAGTGTTCTTCCCTCGCCACCATTTCCTCATACCTGTCCCAAACCATCTTTTTTTTTTTTTTTTTTTTTTTTTTTACTTTTCCCATTAAGCTTTGGATAATTTTTGTAGAGTTATCACTTTCCATAATATTGTAAAAGAAATGTTAATTTTTCTGCTAGTGTTTGTATTCATTATTTATGCTTATCTTGCCAAACTAGACAATCCCATTTGAAGATTACAATGAATCAAATGAAAGTTATTTATACTTTACAACAGATTTGTTGGTTTACCAACACTGATAACTTTAGTGTTAAGTCTGATCTGATTTGGAGTTGTAATAGGTTCAGTTAGTTTTGCTAAAAAATGTATTTATTAGAGGAAATTCGTTGTGAATTCTACCAGACAATTAAGACGGTCTAATATTTCAGACTACGGGACTCAGTTGTACAAATGCAGTCGTTATTACTGTGTTTGCCCTCTCTAAGAGCAGCAGATGCAGCTCTTCGGAGGTATTGGCTCTCTGTGCGTCACCAGGGTAGTGTGCCCATGAACAAGCTCTTTGTGGAGATGTTAGAGTCACACATGCGGTGAATGGCAACTAGACTTAAATTGTAATTATATACATATATGGCAAACTTTCATTTCAATAACAGGAAAAAGAATAGTGTGGCAGGGAAGTGAAAATTGGCATCGTGCATTAATGGGGTTTTGCAAAAAAATACAACTTCCAGTTGTTCACTAGATGGTCATAGGGTCCAGTAGTGACCAGAATATTATCTTGGTTTTATGTCTTCCAAGCTGGAGCTGATGTTTAAGTACTGTTTGTTAGTCAGCGGCTTTCTCTCATCACGACTTGACCCCGAGTGGTCCTGTCTATGAGGCTGACGCTTTTGACTGGTCCTGTCAGGAATAGTACCAAGTGGAATGATGCTTTCAAGATGAACACTGGAAGAAAATTGCAATACTCCAAAACAAATGCCTGCCATGTTGCCATACACTCAGGTATTGTTGGCAATTGTGTTCAGTTCGGAGAAATCAGAAATACACTGATCACTATGAAAATTTAACCCCATTGTGAGTTTTGATCCTATGTATATAACTGTTGTCAATGTTACTCCCACCGAGCAACACGATTAGTGATGTTGCCGCTGTATGCAATCATTTGACATGGTCAGCGAATTTGAACAATGGACAATATATTTAACAAATTTAATGTGTTTTATTAAGAAATGGAGTCATACAGAGAGGATCCAAGGCTCATGTTTGCTGATCTCGCCCCATGTGTTGGCAGTTGACTCAGGACTAATACCACTCCAGTTGTGTGTCTCAAAACTCAAGTCACTGCTAGTAAAATATGTTGATAAATTGTACATATTCACTTTCTTTGTATCTCAAAGGCATAGGCCTGTGTAACAGTACAACTGCTTAAGTAAGAGAAATCAATAAAAATGTGTGTGTTGTCTGTTTCTAATTAAATGTGAAGTTGTAATGTCTTGATACATTATTATCAGCAACTCTACAGTCATCCCAGCAAATATTTATATCCGTTCTGGGTGCAAAGTTCATGCAAGGGTGACTGTAGTGTTGAGTCTTTAGGCTATCAGGTGCTAGTGTTCCATAATAAAAAAAAAGTTTATTTGCCCAGAGTAACAATTTGTTACACTGTCAGAGTATGATGTGCTACACAATGACAATTTATGCCACATGTAACCCATCGCTAGTTCTGTCGCATCTAGAGGCCCTTACTTTAGGGACTAGTCTCGTGCAAGTATAAGTAGAACTTGGAATCTAAGAAATCAAATACTGTTCAACGCCTGTCTTCCTGTTTGCTTTTAATTGTCACGGTGATGTTCAGTTTGATTTTTTGGGTTTATCCCTTTTCTGAATATACTAGTATATGCTCAATAACAACCCACATGGAGGCAGAAACACAGGAGATTGATTGATCTATATATTTTCACCCCCTTCTGGGATCCTCTTCAGCAGATCTGCTGAAGAGGTCCCCAGAATGGGGTCAAAATATACAGATCAATGAAAATCTCCCGAGTTGCTGTCTACATGTGGGTTAATATTGAGCACTGGCAAGTGCTCATTTCACTTTAGTTATTCATACTACTACATATTCACATACAGGCACATTTATGCAAGTCGTATTATACACGATTGTCACACAAGCTGCTGAGTTCCAGGGACTCACCGTTTCCCTCATCATGGTCAGTTATAACATACAACCAGTGTTTGATGTATAACAAGTTACATAATCCATCTCTTCCATGCAATGTATGATTGGTTATTACTGCAAGTGTTGATGTGCAGTAAACTTGAATAATTATTATATTCATGGAGAAGTGTTAAACCCACATGGATCCTTTGGTGCCTGGGAAATAGGAGGTAGTGAGGTTTGATTCTAGGAAAGGGGGATTATCATGTAAATGATAACTAATAGTGACAAGTTGATAAGTGTGTGCAATGCCTGGGTATCTATATTACCAAAAGGTTTTGCTTATCAAGCAGGCTTCATCAGTTGAATACAGAGGTAACTTACAATCCTGGAGATGGTAGGAGTGCAGAGATAGTTTAAAGTAATCAGTACCTCAGCTGTGCTGGAAAAGATTGACCATCATCCATCAAGTACCTCCACTTCTGTTTCTCAAGAATTATCAATCACCTCAGTGTTTCACTGATGAAACCTGCTAGGAGAGTTAAACATTTCATGTAAATAAAAATGTTTATTTCCTTGCAAAGCTTACAATGTGTGGTTTACGTATTACAAAATATTAGTTGCAAAGAAAGTCACTAGCATGCCTAGGCATTCCGGGCAGACTAATCCTAATTCTTACTGACTACTCTATATTGACACAGGTTATGGAACAGTACATCAGTAAAGATACTTGAGTGTTGCACACATCTTATTAATCAGAGAACAGCTCCAATTCCCAGGACCAAGAGCCCTTCACCAGCAAGAGGGAACACCTCCTTGAAGGGAACTGAAGTATTATGTCAGTGTATATAGATGTTCCAAGCAAGAGTTGGCAAGAAACATTATTTTTGTAGGTTCAACATATGCCAGTTGGAACATTTTAGTCCACCACTTTTAGAAGGCACTTATGGTGGAAATAATTCTTTTTTGATTTACCATTACTCTTCTAATATTGTAATATCAAAATTATTTTCTTTACAATTTATTAAAGTGGGAGAACTAAGTTGAAGAAACATTGCTAGACAAAATATCAACTATAAAGAAAATGTTTATTTTTTTAGTTAATAATTTTTAACAAATATTACCTATATAAGCCATTAATGTGTCTTAAAATTGTCTTTGCTGCTGAATATTACATGATTAGGAAAGTATTATTATTATTATTATATATCATAATCATCTTTGTACAATATTAATGGGGAGATGCTACAGGTTATATACAGGAAATAAGGGACTCAGACTTACCTGGAATATACCTGGAGAAGGTTTCAGGGTTCAACACCCCTGCGTCCCAGTCTGTGACCAGACTCGAGGAATAAAAGGGTGGCTATAATTCCTTTGATAAAAGGCCCTTCACTGACATCAAGGCCACCCCTCCTGAGTCATGCTTTATAAGCCAAGATGACAAGCTCTACTAAAAAGTGAAAATTAAACATCAAATATTGTCCAGAAGAGCTTTAGTTGTGTTGAGTATTACCTAGTACATGCGTTCTTTGTAGCAACCCAGAGAAAGGAATCTGGCACCAACAGCTGAAGGGCTTGAGGTGGCCATTTATTATCACAGAACTGACATGACATGATGCACAAGTTGTATTTTGTAAGAAAACTTATGTAAATGGTCAACATGCATTGTAAGGCTAACTTAGATGCGCAGTGTTGGAATGTGAGATGATTGCACTAGCCAATCGAATTTAACTTTTTATCCAGTTCAGTAACCCAACTTTGATGTGCTGATCACAAATCTGAACTTGTTTAGTTCTGTCATCTAAGATTTTTTATGAAATCTTATGACCAATATTTAGTAAAAGTTGAAAAGCCACACTATGTTACCTAGCAATCATAGTTATTGTAGATATTAAGGTCAGTGCACATGACAAAAACTAATCCTTTGTAATGTAAATTCATTATATACAGTAAATACAAACACATACAACAGAAATTTCTATACAGTCATATAAACATTTGTAGTAAATCAGTTTTCAGGTTTTTTTTACTTGGGTTGAGTAAGGCTTTCCTACACCAGTGTTCAGCAGTATTCCTCCGTCAAAACAATCGTCAAGTTTTGTACGTCTCTTCTCTGTGATGTTGTGTCTTGGTGAAATCGTTCACTGTGGGGATCTGTTTCACAGAAGCTATATGTGTTTAGGGAAAACTACATTCGGGGTTTGAATTAGTCGGAAAATTTTTAGTGTGGCCAGTGTTATTATACAGTGTATTCATAGGGAAATGCTACATCTGTAGGGGTCATGCTGCCCTTGGAAAATGATAGGTAATCAAATCTGAACTGAGGAAGGGATAGCTAAAATGTCTTGTATCAAGAACCCTTCAGATTACATCATCTGAAGGGTGAAACTAAAGATAAAAAAAAAGGCTCATTAGTGAGTTAACCCCTTCAGGGTCCAAGGCCCAAATCTGAAGTGGTGCCCCAGTGTCCAAGAATTTAAAAAAAAAAATTTTTTTATTTTTTCTTATGAAATGGTAGAGAATCTTTTTGTGAAGGTAATAAAACAAAAAGTACGAAATTTGATGGAAAATTGACGAAATTATGCTCTCGCGAATTTTGGTGTGTCAGCGATATTTACGAATCGGCGATTTTGCTGACTTTGACTCCATTTTAGGCCAATTACATTATTCCAGTCAACCAAATTCTTAGCTATTTCACTAGTATTACTTCTATTCTATCGATTGAGCACAAGAAATCGCCAAGTCAACTGTTTCAACTACAAATTAAAGTGATCGGAAATTGTTAATTTGGCCAATTTAACACAAAGTTCAAAATATTCCAATTTCAAAATAGGGTCCAGAATAAACAATGTAGGTATTCCTGGAACTAAACTAACATTTCCTCTGTTCATTAGTTATGTTTTGAGGCTTTACAAATAAATTCCATTTTGATTTTTTATTCACATATTGAATTTTTATTCACACCAAAAAAATAGAAGATTTACTGTTATGCAATACTGTAATAATTGCATAAATATCATCACCATATTTGGAATGCATATTAGACCCACCAGCTGGCGTGTATTAGACGTGTGAGGTCGTTTGTTTACTCTTGAATATCGGCAAAAATTTAACATTTCTGCTACTTTGAGCTTAGTTTCAAGCCATTTCCAGTGCGAAAACCAATCAAAATCATCTCTATTTCTGTAATATGTCTTCCATTCTATCAAATGAGACCAAGAAATCACAAATAGAACTATAAAAAACATACGAAAAAACACTGCAAATTCGCTGTTTTAATTGAAAAATCATGATTTCAGTTTTTTTCTCTCATTATACACAGTGTGCTGCAGGATCTGTTTTATGTGGTGCACATATACCACATAGATGTATTCTCTCATATCTAGGCCCAAATGTACCACTCACAGTTTATCAGAGTGAGCTGAGCTCATGACGTAGATCTACGGTTTGGACCCTGAACGTAAAGCCGTAGATCTACGGGACGGACCCTCAAAGGATTAATATCACATTCGTCAGAAATCACTGTGATGCCTATTATAGTAGATGCAACGATCCAGGCTGTCCCCGTAATGTACAAGGCAAAATTCAGGACCAGTGAGGCCACTGTGGTCAGTATTCAATATATGTGGTAACAGTAGCAGTAGTAATACTTTTTTCCAAGGCACATTTGTTGTACAAAGATGGTTACCAGAGACAGTTCAGTAGTTGTCAGTTAAATACAAATGAGATTTGAAAAATTTAATGGGTTCCAAAATTAATTTGCCCAGCAAACCATAAGAAAAAAGAACAGTTCTTGAAATAATGGGCAGATGATTATATCCTAAGTCAATTACCCAGTAGACTGTAACAATGGATGATAATTATGGATTTAATGAATTTTGTCTGTCATTTCTGTTTATCCAGCCACAGATTTTGTCAGTTAAATCCAAAATCTATTGTATTGGAGTCTGTTAAATCAAGGTTTTACTGCTTCTTATGCATAACAGCCCATACTTAACCCTTTCAGGGTCCGTCCCGTAGATCTACGGCTTTATGTTCAGGGTCCAAACCGTAGATCTACGCCATGAGCTCAGCTCACTCTGATAAACTGTGAGTTTTACATTTGGGCCTAGATATGAGAGAATACATCTATGTGGTATGTGTGCACCACATAAAACAGATCCTGCAGCACACTGTGCATAATGAGAGAAAAAAAATGAAATCATGATTTTTCGATTAAAACAGCAACTTTGCAGTGTTTTTTCGTATGTTTTTTATAGTTGTATTTGCGATTTCTTGGTCTCATTTGATAGAATGGAAGACATATTACAGAAATAGAGATGATTTTGATTGGTTTTAGCATTGGAAATGGCTTGAAACTGAGCTCAAAGTAGCGGAAATGTTAAATTTTTGCCGATATTCAAAAGTAAACAAACGACCTCACACATCTAATACACGTCAGCTGGTAGGTCTAATATACATTCACAAATATGGTGATGATATTTATACAATTATTACAGTATTGCATAACAGTAAATCTTCTATTTTTTGGTTGTGAATAAAAATTCATTATGTGAATAAAAAATCAAAATGGAATTTATTTGTAAAGCCTCAAAACATAACTAATGAACAGAGGAAATGTTAGTTTAGTGCCAGGAATGCCTACATTGTTCATTCTGGACCCTATTTTGAAATTGGAATATTTTGAACTTTGTGTTAAATTGGCCAAATTAACAATTTCCGATCACTTTATTTTGTAGTTGAAACAGTTGACTTGGCGATTTCTTGTGCTCAATCGATAGAATAGAAGTAATACTAGTGAAATAGCTAAGAATTTGGTTGATTGGAATAATGTAATTGGCCTAAAATGGGAGTCAAAGTCGGCAAAATCGCCGATTCGTAAATATCGCTGACACATCAAAATTCGCGAGAGCATAATTTCGTCAATTTTCCACCAATTTTCGTACTTTTTGTTTTATTACCTTCACAAAAAGATTCTCTACGATTTCATAAGAAAAAATAACAAATTTTTTTTTTTAAATATCTTGGACACTGGTGCGTGACTCCAGATTTGGGCCTTGGACCCTGAAAGGGTTAAAGCATTCTGGACAGGCAAAATAATACTAATAGAATCTTAATAAATAAATAAACATGCTTCCACACACTGCAATCATGTGTGTACATTGCTAGCCATGTAGCTGTTGACACCTGTCATGTGTCTACATTCCTCGTCAGTAGTAATTCAGAAGCAAAGACAATAGGGACAAAAACAAAACTGCTATAAGATTACAACACGTGTATTCGTCTTATTCTAAAGGTACACTGCTATTGCATTATTTTCTTCTTTAATACTATTGCACATAAAAATACTCAAAGAGGGCAGCTGTCATGACAATAATTTATGTTGATATTGCACTGATTGAAATATAATTTATTTGATAACTAATTTATACAACTAACCTACCTTTAACACTACTCTTTCTTATTTCTCTCATGGAGAATCATGTCATTTTTTTTTATGTATGGTTACTCTACTTTTATAAGTTTTTATATTCATAATGCAGATGTGTTTGCATTGTGGCACGTGAATGTGAGATGTGTTTACTGGTGTTATTCCCGGCAGCATAATATTTAACAGATATTTATGATTTCCTTGTTCATATTTCCACACTAAGTAACTTTTCATACTTGTGTAAACAAAGTGCATTTAATGCGAAACTAAACAAGCAAATGCGGAGTGTAACTACTTTGTTATATGTGCAGTATGTGTTATTTATTACATTGCATTCTTCCTGTGTCATGTTGTCGTCTGTTTCCTCAGCCACAAGAATGTATGTGGAAAAAGACACTTATGTACAGTTCAGGACATTTATTAAAGGAAATGTTTCACCACGAGTGGCTTCTCATGGCAAAACGTTACCTTTAATAAACGCCCTGAACTGTTCATGTCTTTTTCCACATCTTGACGGTATTACCATACCATTTCTTTCACAAGAATGTATCACCTGGTAATATTTATCATCTCTGTCTATATTGTAGGCAACACTTGGTTGAGCCTTCATGTTGCATGTTACACACTTGGCACGAAGGAGATACTGTATGTACGTATACCACCTCATGAGTGTAACGAGCACATCATACTATGCATGGACAGGTGGGGCACTGCACTAGGATATTTGCTGTGGCTGCATCACTACACCATAGGTATCTGTGTAACTGCATCACTGTGCGATAGATGAGGCTATTTGTATCAGTGTATTTATCACTAGCAAAATGGTGTATAAAGTGAATGCTCGTGCCCGCTGGAACCTGCTCGAGACGTCTAATGCTTGTGATTAGTAATTTCAAAAACAATCTTGCTTTGATATCACCTAAAAATCACTAGTTAATTAGTATCTTTAGTGCATAAGGTGATTCTGAAACAATATTAAATTATATAAGATTGAAATTATAGTGACAAATTTGCTTAATCTGTAGTTACAGTGTCTAACTATGCCATTTTCCAGTGAGTGCAGTTGCTTGCTGCCAGATAGTTTAGTTATTGCTGCCCCTTCACAAGAGTAACCAGCCCTTAACTATATAATAGAACCACACGGCTCTGCTGGGCATGCAGGTTCCAACGTATTGAAATGTGATTGCAATGCACTGCCCTTACACCATAGTGTCTCCTGCTTATAGATGAAGCTCAGAAATAAACACACATCGTGTATCTTTGGTTGTACAGTACATTAAAATGTATTGACAGCAGTGACATAAAATGGGTCTAGGATCAGTGATACTGTAATATGGGGACAGAAATAATAGGTTGGTTGGGATTTATATATATTTTTCTTTTTTGAAGAAAGGAGAAGGTGATGGGGGTACCAACTGTGATTGTGATACACTGTGCTATATCCATACTATTTGTGCAATAATCATCCTAAATTGTGCTATATGCAAAAAAAAAAAAAAAATGTAGAATATGAATAATTATGTTATTCACTTTTTTCTTGGGCATTACATTATTTATCAATTATAGATTAATGACATAACTACCTAGACTTACCTTCTAATTACAGAGGTTACACAGGGCAAAGTATTAAATTGTGATTAATAAGAGTTCAAAGGAATGTTATATTTTTGGCATATATTTACTATAAACAGTACAGTATTCCTCTTTAGTATGAGAGACTGTTAGGTTCTGGTTAAGCAAAGACTCATAAATGAACAAAGATGGTTATGATGACCAAAAGATGGATGTGGACATGCGATGTGCAAAGGGATTTCTTAAGGTAATTTAATGTATTGTGCATCTTATACATCCACTGTGCATACTTTCTCATACATGTATGTGTTGTTCAGTGTTGCAAAGGATGAGGTGCAGGAGTTACTACACCCTTCCTCTGTGTGTAGCCTCTAGCAGATCTAATTAAGTGTTACATAGCTACACTGACTGTAATTCCGTCCGTTGCAGGTGTAGTGGGTTTGCAAGGCCCCAGCTCGCCCAGGCTCCCAGTCTTATAGGTGGCACTTTTAAAGACTGTTTGTTTACACGTATCCTCAAATATTTTCTCTCATGGTGGGTTTAGATATAAAATGGTTAAACCAGTTGTGTAATAAATTTTACCTACCATTCATGCTATGCTAAATAATGAATATCCAAGAAAATCATTAATCATTTGGCAATAAATTCAACACCCACAAAGTCAGAGTGAGGTATAAGTATATCATTAGAATATAAATTACAACAACTTCTTAGTTAACAGAAGATATAACAAAAGTTCTAGTGTGATTAACAAATGCACTATACATATTATATATGGGTTGTGTCACAATTGCACATTTTTATTTAAAAGACTTTTCTATTCAATAAAAAGTAAATGGCTACATTATTGACATTCCACATGAAGGCAAATATGCGAGGTCATTAAATACGTGTTAAATGAGGATGTGTAAGAACCTTCTTGCAGCGTTTTCATTATTTTTAAGGAATC